TGTATAGGAGGGATCATGCTGGGAAGAAGGGTGGTGGAGTTGATCTCTACTTGAAGGAGAATTACATCTCCCTAGAATCAAAGATTGGAAATAAAGAAGGGAGAGACTTGAGACCTTCTGGGACAAGATACATGGGGAAGGGGATTTGACCATAGGAGTTTATTACAGACCTCCAAACCAAGAGGAACAGCTTGACCAAGAAGCCTCTGGAGAACTGACAGCATGGTCTTGCAGTAACGCTCTTGCAACATGGTCATCATGGGTGACTTCAACTACCCAGACATCTGTTGGGATGAGCACTCAGCTAGATCCAATCACTCACCAAGTTTCCCCACTTGCATTGAGGAGCTCCATCTAACACAATAAGTCCATGGGCTGACCAGGGGCAAGGCACTCCTAGACTTGGTTCTGGCCAAAGGGGTTGATCTAGTGAGCAACTTGAGGATTGAAGGGAAACTGGGCAACAGTGACCATGAGGTGATCACTTTCTCCATCCACTGTAAGTTAGGGAAATTGACCAGTAAAACAGAAATCCTTGATTTTAGGAAAGCTGATGTTCACAAGCTTAGGTGTTTAGTTGTTGAGGCCCTAAGGGACCATGGTCCAATGAGAAAGGGGGTACAAAAAGAGTGGCCATTCCTTAAGGAAATGATCCAAAAAGCTCAAAGGAAGTCCATTCCCTTTCATAAGAAAGCCCGCACTTCCCCCTTGGCTCCACAGGGAAGCCATGAACTTCCTGAAATTAAAAAGAGAAGCCTACAAGGGATGGAAGTCAGGAAGAAGTACCAAAGAGGAGTACTCAGCAACAGCCTGCACCTATAGGGAGCAGATCTGGACAGCAAAAGCACAAACCAAATACAGATTGGCAGCTGGAATCAAGGACAAGAAAAGGTCCTTCTTTAGGTATGTAGGAAGTTGGAAAAAAAATAAGGGAAGCATAGGGCCCCTGATGAATGGCATGCATCTACTGAGGCACATCGAGCAAGGCTAAGGAAGTCATCCTCCCTTTCTATTTTGCCTTGGTGAGACCACAGCTGGAGTTCTGCATCCAGTTCTGGGTGCTGCAATTCAGGAAGGATGTGGAGAAGCTTGAGAGGGTCCAAAGGAGGGCTACACTCATGATTTGAGGCCTGGAGACCAGGTCATATGGGGAGAGACTGAAAGGCCTAAGAAAGTTCAGCCTGGAGAAGAGAAGACTCAGAGGGGACTTGATGGCAACCTATGAGTACATCAAGGGCATAGATCAGGGCCCAGGGGAGCATTTGTTCACCAAGGCCCCCCAGGGGAAGACAAGAAATAATGGGCGCAAGCTGATTGATGATCACTTCAGGCTATACATCAGGAAAAACTTCTTTACAAGTTGAATGCCACAGGTTTGGAACAGGCTCCCCCCAGAGGTAGTACATTCATCCACCCTGACGATCTTCAAAACGCGTCTTGATACCCATCTTGCTGGGGTCATCTGATCCCAGCAGTCTTTCCTGCCCAAGTGCTGGGGGGGGCTGGACCTGATGATTTGTAAGGTCCCTTTTAGTCCCTAACAACTATGAAACTATGTTTTGTTATGTACATGTGGCACTAAAGGATCGGTAAAGCATAATCAACCCAGAGCAAACACGGAATACGTATCACACCATTAAACTTAACTAACATTTAACTTTATTAACACATGAAATATGTTAACAGTTTCTACACAGAGAGAGAAAAACACTTAGTTCAATGGTCACACCCAATCCCAGATGTTACTCCACTTCATAGATAAGGTGGCCAATCAGTTCCTGAAAGTAGAGGGTAGGTGCCTGTGGGTAATGGCTCTTTTTCAGCCTAGATGTGGTTCGATGATGACACATCCAACTTCCTTGTTGCCCCCCTCTTATGCTTTTTCTTTAACTTCACTCCTCTCATGACTCTTCATTTCTGGGTACCATTGATTGGTTTCCCCATGATCATCATACTATTCGTGTTCTTATCCTGTCAGCATATAACTTTGTTCTAACAAACCCATCACATGCACACATCATAATTTGGTCTTTTACTAGTGACTTAATTTGGGCATGCCATGCACTCCTAATTTGGTCTGTTCCTCAAAACTGGAAATTCCAAGGGCTCTGCAGTTGGGCACTGTCCAATCAGTACCCTCTTAACATCCTTCATTAATATATCCAATAATGTCATCCCTCTGATTTATTTGGTTAGTGCCAAGTTCAGTTACTTTAAGCTAGTAACAAAGCCCACATTTCACACATCTACGTTGATAACACTGGAATAAAGCTGCCTGTGAAAGTGAGCTCAAGTCTAACTGACAGTGCAGACACAAAATGTCAAAAGAAAAGTTAAAAAATAATGAGGCTATAAAAAAACTTAAGCAGTGGTTAAATAAGGCTGAATATGAGAAAAGCTAAAATAGTATTATAATTCACCACTTAAGCAGGTGCAAATAAAGCTAAATGTAATAAGCTACCCTAATAGTTTGGCACCCCTATGTTAAAGAGAAGTAGACTGTAAAATATGCAAAAAATTACGGGGAGCTGGAACCTGGAATGGATATGAATCAAGGGGAAGGGGTCTGAGTGTCTGTCACTCATGGCACAGCCATTTCAGGACCATGGCCCTACTAAGAGTTACTTGGCTGATATTTTCCCAATGTGATACTAAGCAATAGAGCTTTTTTTTTGCTGAATGATTTAATATATTAATTAGATTTTTAAGTGAATGTTTTTCTACATATTACTATCTGATTTATAGTCTTAAGTTATTGTTGAAAATGAAGTATTTTTCAATATCATTATATAATAGGTAAATTGGGCATGGGAGTAGAAGTCTTTTAGCACTGACAAAAATACACTTGCTAACCTACATAGAAGCCTATCTAATTGCAACTTGGTGACTGCATCCTGAGGTACCAAAATACCCATCCCAGTCAGGATTATAGGGATAACAGAGCAAGATATAGAAGTTTCGTGCCTTGGCAGAGATGACTTGTGTGCTGCAGGGGATTAAACTAGAGCCACAGGTATTCTTTTTTGCTAAAGTCTATACAGTCTATACACCTAAGACTGTTTACATTTGTGTCTTTGCTTGTGAGCTGTGCAGGACTCTGGGGAATAAGTCCCACTGTAAGGAGTGACCTAGAAACCACTACTCAGAGACGAAGCAAAAGAGAATGTTATGAGACAAATGCCCATCTGCGATGATAAGGAGGAGACAGTCCTAGATAAAGGGGGCTTGAAAACAAAAGCAGAAGCCAGGGTACTGGGTTAAAGAGCTCATTAAAATACTAAAAATCACGCCCCTAGGTCGGGAAAAGGTATGCTAATGAAACATACATGTATGTAAATGAGATACATGGCTAAAACACAGGTATAGAGACATGCTTAGTAAAGAACTCCTTGCGTCACTCCTTTATAACCAATCAGCAAATAAGGATGCTTATGGAGGTTCAAAAACTTCTGTATAAAAGATGCTTAGAAATAGTAATCTAGTGTGCTTGTTACGTGAAATTATTCCGCCCACCAGCCTTTAGAAAAAAACAACTGAAAATTGCCTTCTTGCTTCAGTCCTTTTATACAAGGCATGGTTGAGGTCAGCTGCACACTCAGAAACCTGTTTGGATTTACTTCAATCAGTTTAGTGACAGTGTGAACAGAGACAGACCTCTGAGTTATCTGTGCTTTTGGGGACTATAGATTAGTGGTTGGTGCAAAGAAGATCTGACAGATCAATTGGACATGAACAAAGAATCTTGGCAAGGGAAGTTTGAATATGACACAAGATGAGGAAATTTCCACAAAGACAGTTTCAGTAAGTTTCCTGCATTCAGTGAAGTGTCTTGTCTTAGTAAGATGCAGAGGAGATTTAAGAATATACAAGTTGGAAAATCTGGCTATACAAATCATATTGACTATAACATAAAATAGCATCTAAGCTAAGAGAGTGAATGAAGACATTTTCAGGGTTTTACTTTTAATTCAGATAAAGTTCTACAGCTGATTGAAGCAGGGGAGGAGGAGGGGACCTGCAGGGAATACAGACTTTTATGTAATACCTATAGTATATTTGATCTCACAAATTGAATTGGTATCTTCTGGCTGAAGGTTTTCTGGTAAAATTGATTGAACATGTAGATTTTTCAGCAAAAAAGCTATGCTTTATTTCTGGATAGGTACACATTTTCTTCAGTTTTTAAATTAAAAGTCAAAATGTTTTCATATTATGTGACATCTTTTTAGGGGAAATATATTCATTAAAAAAAATTTAGGGGGCAAAAATAAACTGAAAATATTCTGCATTCTTTCAGGAAACTTTGAAACTCTGGTCAGGAGAGATTATTGATGGGAATATTAAAGCCACTGAGCTTGTTACTTTCTTCCTTACCATTTTTCTTGTTCTATTATCCACAGGTTTTGCACAGTCTACCAATGAATATGTCCAACTGTAACACTGTAACCGAGTTCCTCCTCCTGGGGTTCTCTGACACTCGGGAGCTGCAGGTCTTACACTTTGTCATCTTTCTAGCAGCATACCTAGCAGCCCTGGTGGTGAACCTACTTGTTATCACTGTTGTAACAATGTACCACAACTTCCACAAACACATGAACTACTTCTTGGTAAATTTATCCATCCTTGACCTTGGATCCATCTCTGTTATCATCCCCAAGTCCATGGCCAATTCTCTCTTAAACACCAGGACAAAATCCTATTCTGGATGTGTGACCCAGGTCTTCTTCTTCTCACTCTTTTGTATAGCTGATCCTGCCTTCCTCAGCATCATGGCATATGACCGGTATGTTGCAATCTGCAAGCCACTGCATTATGAGACGATAATGAATAAGAGAGCTTGTATTCAAATGGCTGCTGGTGCAGTGCAGTGCTGGTCAGTGCTATTCTCTATTCTACACTGCATACTGGGGTCACGTTCAGCATACCCTTCTGCCATTCCAACACGATCAACCAGTTTTTCTGTGAAATCCCCCAGCTCCTCAAACTATCCTGCTCTGATGCATATTTCACAGAACTGGGGATTCTTGTATTTAGTACATGTTTAATATCAAGCTGCTTTGCTTTCATAATTGTATCATATGTTCAGATCTTGCCTACAGTGCTAAGAATACCCTCTAAAGAGAGTCGGAATAAAGCCTTCTCTACCTGCCTTCCTCACATCATTGTGGTCTCCTTGTTTGTGAGCACTGGGATCTTTGCCCACATGAAGCCCACTTCGGGTCCCCCCTCAGTAATGGATCTTTTTGTTACTGTTTTGTATTCTGTGGTTTCTCCATTGATGAATCCGATCATTTATAGCATAAGGAACAAGGAGCTGAAAGCTTCAGTGAGGAAACTGATCCATAGGAGGGTATTTGACAATAATAACAGATTCATCTCCATCTCATGACTGTAGTTCAGTTTCAGTTGTATTATTCTTAACTGCTATAATGAAGTACTGACAGTATTGTTTCTTTGAATACATAATGGGGAATTAGTTTATTGAAAATCAAATTTTATTGTGGTAAAAACATTATGTAATGACGCCAAAATTAAAGGATCTTTCATTTTTGTGTTTCACTCTCTGCATGTCCATTTTCAAGTGAAACATATAGCCCATCTTATTAAGGCACTGCCTGTAACAAATAAAATCTATATGCATAGCAGGTGTCTGGTGTTACTGTCTTTCTAGCTTGATGCATATTTCACAGAACTGGGGATTCTTGTATTTAGTACATGTTTAATATCAAGCTGCTTTGCTTTCATAATTGTATCATATGTTCAGATCTTGCCTACAGTGCTAAGAATACCCTCTAAAGAGAGTTGGAATAAAGCCTTCTCTACCTGCCTTCCTCACATCATTGTGGTCTCCATGTTTGTGAGCACTGGGATCTTTGCCTACATGAAGCCCACTTCAGGTTCCCCCTCAGTAATGGATCTTTTTGTTACTGTTTTGTATTCTGTGGTTCCTTCATTGATGAATCCGATCATTTATAGCATAAGGAACAAGAAGCTGAAAGCTTCAGTGAGGAAACTGATCCATAGGAGGGTATTTGACAGTAATAACAGATTCATCTCCATCTCATGACTGTAGTTCAGTTGTATTATTCTTAGCTGCTATAATGAAGTACTGACAGTATTGTTTCTTTGAAAACATAATGGGGAATTAGTTAATTGAAAATCAAATTTTAGTGTGGTAAAAACATTATGTAATGACACCAAAATTAAAGGATCCTTCATTTTTGTGTTCTCACTCCCTGCATGTCCATTTTCAAGTGACACATATAGCCCATCTTATTAAGGCACTGCCTGTAACAAATAAAATCTATATGCATAGCAGGTGTCTGGTGTTACTGTCTTTCTAGCTTGGAGGATAAAAAATCTTCTTGAGGGATGAGTCAATTCCTTTTTTTTTCCTTTCTAATTTCTTTTTCCCCATAGCATTTGGTTGATTTAGTGGATGATTTTGTATGAAGCCAG